AAGTGCCACAGACCGAAAAGCAACAACATCTCATAGTGATGCAAAACAACCACTAGATGGTAGTGTTAATAAGGCGTGACGTGGACACAGCTGAATGTTTACCGCAGACATTTTGAACTTTGGGTCTAAGCAGACTTATTTCATGCGCAGTCCTCAAACATTGTGAATAAAAAGACCAGTTATTCTTTCACACTTTAAAACCTAGACATCACGAGTGAGGTGTGGGATAAGCCAATGGAGGTGTGACAATCTCTCACCATCGTTCATCAAGATCTTCATACATCTCTCCATCATCATCATCGTCGTTATTAATTTCCTCCTGGGAGGAGAGTACATAAAGCAACAGAAATATATAACGCTATAACCTTAGTCAATTTAAGACACATTCAATTTTAGAGTATAAACTTTTCAACTTAATTATTTGAATTTGTTAAAGACATTTAACCTCCAGAGGTTCTGCTTGGACTACAAAAGCCTCTTTGAAGCAGACCTACAATCTGTCAAAAGTCATTTTTTTCTACCCATACGTTCATTTATAATTACTTCCAGGGCTCGTGTTATTTAGTCACTATTCTGTTGCTGTTTCCTTCTGTGGTACCACTGGTGGTGATGTGGTTTATTCTGCACTTTCACCTGCATAGCAATCTGTATTTATATGAGTGAAAGTAATTCAGCATGTCTCACCTTTCCTCTCTGGCTTGGGTGGGCTGCAAAAAGAGAAACAATAAAGCAGAGTTACAATGAGACCATTTTGAAGCAGATATCACTATCTGAATTCAGGTTCATATCGGGAAGTTTAACGTGCTCAATGCTGACTGTCAACTGTGCCAAAAACATTTTAAGCATTAGTCTTTTTATAAGTATGATATGAAAATACATAACATTTAGAAAACTAAATCTTTTTAGCTTCATGCTAACTTTTTCATCTTTCAGCTGCTGCCTTCAGGGTTCGCCACAGCAGATCATCTGGGTCCATCTCACCATATCCCTAGCATCTTCCTCACCATCTTGTAAACTTTCTCTTTCCGTCTTGCTGCTATCCTTCTGTCAAAAATCACTTGTCTCCATCGGCTCCACCCTGCCTGCACTCTCTTCTTTACTTCTCTCTTGCGGGTCTGTTGCTTTGTACGGTATTTAAAGTATTCATGTTCACTGCTTCTGCTCCCTGCATCTTATCCTTATCCTTTACAGCTGTCTGCCTGAGGTTCACACAGCTGTATGCTAACTAATGTAGGTAAAGGTAGCTAAACAGTGATGGTGACGTTGCACTAGAATCCACTGGATTAAAAAAAAATATTTTGGGATTACTCCAAAATGAAGCATTTAAAATAGTATACTTTATACTTAGGAATAGTTGAAGCCATAACATTTTGAGTTCTACAAATATTCTTTTCTTCCTTTCATACAACTCCGCACATTTTCAATGCCAATAAAATGCATTTTACGTATTTAGAAATTACCACTGTCTTCTAGCACAAATATGGCACAAAGTTCAGCTTCTTCTGTTTTCCTGTGATGTTAAAAAAAAAAGTTGTGCAACACTAGTTTTAGAGACTTAGAGACTTTTACTGGACCTGCAGATGGTGGTAGAGGCGGGGGAGAATTGGTCACGTGATCGACATCGTCGTAAGTGTCTTCTTGCTGGTTCCTAAACAGCAGGTTAGGATTTAGCTGTTATTAATTGGAGTAGCATTATCCAGAAAATACACAGCATGTCCAACATTTATCACCGTGTTTCTGTTCAAACAGGAAAATGAAAAAGTGTGTTTAATGTGTCACTCACATGGCTCCAGGATGTCGTGGGGGCAGATTTGGCAGTGCAGGTGGTGGGGCTTGATTCTGGGCCACATGGTTGCTCGCAGCGATGGGTTTCTTAAAACTAGGACCTGCAGCAGAAACATGCAGTGTTGACGCTGTGTTAGCCGATTACTCTTTAGGTGGTTTTGCTGTACTTTACTTGCTTCCAGTGTAAATTTAGCACTTTTTAGACCAATGCAAATGAATTTCACCAACACTGTCTGACACCATCTCTGATCACCACACAAGACGTGTACATAAATAGATGGGTATCTATGTATCTAAATGTGAAAAACTTCTACCTCTAATTTCTGTGATGATTATATATGTCAAAGAGTCACATCAGTCTCATCTAGACACATCGAAACTGGTGCAAAGATGGTCCTCTGCACATAACCTTCAGAGACTGTTGACGGTATGTGTTAATAGGACTCTCTTTATGATCAAGAATGATATATAAAATATTTCTGCAACGAGGCATTTGAATCTCCTAGAGCAGGGGTC